TGCCCGGGCGCCCTTTCCACGCGCGGGGTGGCGAGGCCCCGCCCCGGCCAGGTGGGGTCGCCCCTGAGCAGGGGGAGGTGACAGACCGCCGTGTCGCGGGGCGGGGGGCGGCCGAGGCCCCGCGCAGCGCCCGCGGCCTGACCCCCGCCGCCGCCCGCGCAGATAAGGCGGCGGCCTTTGTTGCTCCCCAGCTGGGTAAACCGCGCGCGGCCCTCGCGGCGGCGCCCTTTGTGCGGCCGGCGGGCGGACAATGGCCGGAGGAGTCGGCCGCGTCCCACACCTCGCTGTGTACACGCGGGGGCGGGGCGGCCAGGTGCGCGGGCCGCGGAATGCAGGGTCGGCGCGGGGCCGGCGGGAGGGGCCGCCGGCGGGGGTGAGGGGCGCGGCCGCGCAGGGCCCGGGGCGCCCGTCCGCGAGGTGCAGACCCGCCCGGCCCGCGCGCTCCGGCCGCCGGCCGCGCGCGACGGGGGCTCGAAGGCGCGGGCGCGCGGCGGCGGCGGGGGCGCCGGGGGCTGTTTCTCGTCGGCGTCCGGTTTGGGGCACACCTGGCGGGTTGTAAAGTGATTTACGAAGTGAAAGTGTTCAACGAGGCCACCAGCTGGAGGCCCGACCCGGCTCCGTGGGTTTTATTAGGTGCCCTATTATGGAAAATAAACTGTAATCCGACCATAAAAACCAAATCTGAAAAACATATTTGCCCTTGTGGTCTGAAACAGGCTGCGTTCCTGCTGGAGGTCCCGCCTCCGGGGCGGAGGAGTGGGGGCGGGGGGCTTAGTTTTATGGAGGGAGACACTCCGCCCGCAGGACTTTGATACCGGGTGGGGGTCGCCCTGGGGCTCCGGGCCTCCCCGCCGGGCGCCTCCCAGCCGTGTCCCCTGCCACCCCCAACGCCCTGCACCTCACCCCCAGGCCTGTCCCTGGGCCACCCTGCTGGAACTGGCCTCCACCCCACCCCGGGGGAGGGGGTCGCAGGGGAGGCCCTGGGGTGAGGGATCGGTGAACCCGCAAGGCTGGGAGGTGCCCCAGGGACACCCAGCATCACAAGAGGCAGCTCCAGCCCAACGGGGCCTGGGGGCCAGGCTCTCCCTCCCTGGGCCTTCCTGGCCAGCGGTCAGGACTTTCCCTAGAAAGCCTGCCCTCCCTTTAGGGGGGAGCGGGGAGCGAGAGAGTAGGAAGAGGTGGGGCGGGGGAGCGCGGAAGGTCCGCCTTTGTTTTAACCATCTTAACCATTTTACAGAGAGTGTCTGGTCCTGTGCTGGTAACTGGGTACATTTTGCCGGCCACGGATCTCTGGAATTGTCCCACAGGCAAAACCCAAACTTCCTACCCATTTGACAGTGCCCCTTCCCTCCTCCCTGCCCCTGCCCACGGCCCTTCCACCTCCTGCTTCTGGGAGTTTGGCTATTTCCGATTCCACTGACGAGGAGAACCGTGCTGTACTTTGGCGACTGGCTTGCTGAACGTCCTCCAGGGTCATCTGCTGTGTCCTAGCATATCAAAGGCCCCTTCTTATGTAGGGCTGAAGAACGCTGCATTTCATGCGTGCAATCCATGTTCTCGATCCATTCACCCTTTGACAGGCATTTGGGTGTCTCCCACCTCCCGGCTGCTGAGCCATGAGCAAGTGGGTGTGCAAATGTCCCTTCCAGACCCTGCTTTTAATTATTTCTGGATACACACCCAGAAGCAGGGTGGCTGGCTCACATGGTACTTCTAGTTTGTGGTTGATTTTTTTTTTTAGAACCTCCATACTGTCTTGGTGGCTGTGTGCACCTTTCCATTCCTGCCAAGAGCGCAAGGTGGGGAGCCCACCTCCCCTGACCTGGCCACGCCCATTTCCTGTTTTGTTCCGTTTTTGTAACAGCCGTCCTGGAAGGTGAGAAGCTCCAGACTTGCATCTCCCCAACGAGCAGTGACGTCGGGCACCTTCCACGTGCTGAGGGGCACTGGTATCTCCCTCAGAGAAGTGTCTATGCAAGTCCTTCGCCTGTTTTCGAGTTGGACTTTCGTTGTTGTTGCTGTGTGCGTTGGGTGTGTTCTTCCCGCCCTGGGTAGGAGCCCCTCGCCAGAGACGCGCTTTGCACGTGCCCGCGTTGCCAGCGCCCCTCCTCGCTCTGCCCGCCGTCTCCTTTGCCGTGCAGAAGCGTCGACGGCCAAGGCGATCCGATCCCCCCGTTCTCGCATGGGTTGCCTGTGCTTTCGGTATCCTTGCAAGTCTCTTAAGCTGACTTTCGCCCAAGGGACTTCCGCCTGGGGACGAGGCGGGGGACGCACGGGCCCGCTCGCGTTCATCCCGGCCGCCTGTGCCCTCCTCACACTCGGAGGGGCCTGACCCTGGGCTCCGCCAGGGCTGGACAGGAGGCCTTGGGGCCGCTGCCTGAGGAGTGGGTGGGTGTCGATTGATTTGTTACCAACAGGCTTTCCCCTCGTTCTCTCAGTTCTGCCGGGGACACTTGCACAGGCCTAACACCCTGTTGGGGGAATGGAGGCGGGGCCTCCCCTTGCCTCCCCAGGCCCAGAGGTTCCCGGGGGGCGGGGCGCACTGGGATGCTCGCAGCAGGGGCGGGGGCGGAGCGGGGGCGGGAGGGACTCCAGGCCCGAGGCCCGCTTGGCTGCAGGAAAACCAGGGCTTGTCTGAAGACATGCCCCGTCCTCTTCGGGGCTCCGGCTGCGGGGGCCTGGCTGGGGTCCCGCAACCGGCCCTCCTGGCGCACGGGGTCCTCCAGACGATCGGGGCTGGCGGCGCTCATTACGCGGAATGAATTGTTCGTTGTGCCCGGAGTGGATGAGGACGAGCCAGTGATTATATTTAAATTTGCTATAATTGATTTGGGGAAGAGCTACTGTGACAAGAACGAATTGATCATTAAATTTATTAGCGAGATAAATTCCGCCGCGATTAAGCAGCTGGCTGGAGCGGCTGGGGCCGCGGGCCGCGCTGCCGGCCCGGCCGCCAAGTCCCCGCGCCAAGCCCGGGCTGGCTCGGCTGGGGGGGCGGGGCCGTGGCAATGACGTCCCTCGGTGCCCCCTTCCCCTTGTCGCCTGGGTAAAGGGACAGAACCCCGCTGAGGCCTCCCCCGCAAAGCGCTGCGTCCCGGTTGCCCGGCGTGGACGCGCGGGCGCCGCGGGAGCAGGGGGCGCGGGAATAAACGCCAGATGTGGGGCAGGCCCGGAAAACGATCGCTTCAGGCTGAACTCGCCAATGTGTTAGAAATTAAAACGAGACACGCGCAGGCTGCAGATTGCTTTTAACCCGAAGGCACGCCTTCCTCCTCTCTCCCACCCCCTCCCTCGGGCCCCCCGGCTTTCCCACCAGTTGCAAATCCAGCCCCGGCCCCCGCAGCACCTTTGGACCCCGAGGCGGCCAGGCCCGCGCCCAACCGCTGCTGCCGCCGGGCTCCGCGGCCGCGCCCGGGCCTGGGCCGGGGCGGATTTTATGGAAGGAGTCCGGGGTGATAATGAGCTGCCAGAGAGGATATTAATCTCACCCGGGCCTGGAGGCGGAGGCGTGGCCCCGCTGGCCTGCGCGTAATCACCCGAAGGAAACGCCGGGCCCTTCTGAACTCATTTATCAGCGGGGAGGGGGAGGGGAAGCAAAGGGGGTAGAGGCGCTCGCCCCGCGCCCAGGCGCCGGCCCGCGCGGGAGAAGGAAGGGGAAAGCGCCGCGGACCCCTGCAGAGGCCCGGGAGGCCCGGCTCCGCGGCGCGGGGGCAGGGCGGCCGGCCGGCCGGCGCGCACGCGGCCCGCATGTGTGCAGCACCTGCGCGGGCCTGGCCCGGCCCCGATTGATGACGCGCGCCGCCGAGGTTCTTCACCCGCAGCCACGCGGCCCGGGCGCGAAGCCTTTCCGTCGCCTTTGCCGCCCTCGCGGATATGTGCGCGCGCCCGTGCGGATCCCAGAAAACCGGGCCAGGCCGGCGCTCGGAGGTCCCCGCTGGGGAAGGGGAAGCGCAGTCTCCTGCGAAGCCATGGGGCGGGGGACGCGCGCGCAAGCGGCGGCCTGGCCGCCCCGAGGACCCCAGGTGCCGGTCCAGCTTATGTTCGGGACCATTCAGAGCGTGTTTCCATTTCGGGAGCGCCAGTGAAGCCAGAAGACCCTCAAGGAAACAGGAAAATAAACACAAGGTCCAGAGCCGCTCTTCGGGGGGCGGCGTCCGGGACAGCTGCGAGCCAGGCCCCGGCTGCGCGCACACCTGGTCTCAGGTGCTTCTCCCGACACTTCGCACCTGCGACCCCCCGGCAGCGGAATGCAGCTCCCCGCCCGTTCCGGGCGCAGGAGGCGGCGGCGGGCCTCCCACGCGGCTGCGCCCCGGGACTCAGATTCCCCCCTCCGGCCGGGGAAGCCCGCGGAGCGCGGCGCGGCCGCCCGCCTTCCACCACAGAGACTGGGAGGCCCGTGTGGTCGCGCCCCCCAAGGGATCTACACGCTTCTCCAGTAAAAAACCAATTTATTTTACATTCCATCGTGGGCGATGGGAGAAGCTAAATAATTTAGCATGCATACGTAGACGTTTCTTTTTATATATAAATACAATGTACAAAAATAAAGACAGTACAGTTTTGAGATTTCCAGCAGTTTGCACGCTCATGACATCGCTGCCCCTCCCCGCCCCCCCAAGATACATAAGCACAAAACATTTCTTTTTTTTTTTTTTCTTTTCCAAGACTCAGCAGAACGGCGTTTCCAGAGAAGGTTTCAAGTTTCGGGGTCGGTTAACACTGTCGGTTTCCGCCTTCTCCGCTCTGGAAGGGGAGCTGGGAGGCCTCCCTGGTGGCCGTGGGGGTCTTCTCACAAGTCCCGCCCCCCACCACTACCCGAAATTAAATTTAGAAGAACCAGAGTTCAGGTCTGAACCCGCGGGGCCTCCCTCTCTGACCCGGGAAGGGCGGACAGGCGCTGCGGCCACGCGGGCCGCCTCCCTGGGGGCCCCGCGGGGGCTGCACGGGGCACCAGGCGGAGGCGCCCAGGGATCCCTGCGTCCCTGTCGCTGGCCCGGGTCCTACTGGGGCGGGGGCTGGTGCCCGGGCCTTGGGGGCGGGGAGTCGGCCCCCGAGGAGCAGTCGGAGGAGGCGGCGTGCGTGCTGGCGCCGTTGCTGTAGGGGAAGTGGTCTTCGTCCTCGTCCTCTTCGTCCTCCTCCGGGTCACTGTCCCTCAAGTCCCGCAGGCGCCGCGCGCCACCCTTGTCCCCCGGCGCCGGCGGCCCCAGCAGCCCCTCATCACCCTTGTCCTCCGCGGCGCCACCCCGGCCCGCGCCCCCGCCGCCCCTCTGCTTCTCCGCCTCCTGCGCCGCCTGCTCTTTGGCCTTTTTGCTGCGTTTCCACTTCATCCGCCGGTTCTGGAACCAGATCTTCACCTGGGGGCACAAGGGGGTCAGACGCTGCCTCTCCATCCCCTTCGGTCCGATTCCCGGCCCCTTGGGGGTTCAGGTCGCAGGCCGCACACTCCTGGGGCTGCCGCGCCCCTGCCCGGAGGTCCGGGCGCCCTGGTTCCGCGGAGGAAGGCCGGGGCAGCTCGGTGTGCCCGGGAATCGCGAGATGCTCCCTCCTCTTTCTGGGACAAACGGCCTTGCTTGTGGCCTGCAGGGGCCACCTGCTTCCGGATGTGGAAGGGCAGGGGCGTTGTAAAGGCAGATCCCTGGGCCTGGCCCCAACCTCCCGAATGGGACCTCGGGGCGCAGCCGCAGAGCCCGGGCCTGGCCGGCACCGGGGCCCTCTCCCCAGACACTAACCCGCACCCAACGGTGGGAACGGAGCAGCTCAGGCCGCGCAGGGGCTCAGGGCTGCAAGGACAGAGGTGACAGTGTCCCCCGAGGCCAGGATGTGCTGGGGCGCTGGGGGGCCAGCTCACCTGGGTCTCCGTGAGCATCAGCGACGTGGCCACCTCGAAGCGCTTGGGCCGGGACAGGTACTTGTTGAGCTTGAACTGGTGCTCCAGCTCCAGCAGCTGCTGGCTGGTGAAGGCCGTGCGCGGCCGGCGGCACTTCCCCAGGAGGTTCGACTGCGCCTGGGCTGCGGGGCGGGACAGGAGGGGGCCGTGGGGCGCAGCCTGGCTGTCTCGGGCCCACTCCCGTCCGGCCCACCAGCGGGGACCTGCAGCCTGGTGCCTCTTCCCTCCCTGTCAGGGGCCCCTCCCCAAGGGCCCAGGCCGGCGGGGCGCCCAGGCCCTGGAGGGAAGGCGACCGCAAGGTTTGGGTTTCCTGGGGCCACATCTTTTTCTCTCAGGCTGGGCCTGGGTGTCCGATTAAAAGGAACCTATCGCCCGGGTGCGCCCTCTTCCCCGGGGTGGGCGCTGGCAGGAAGGAGGGCGACAGGCCAGAAGCAGAGGCCTGAGGGACCCACCACCTCCCACTGCTCACCCGCCTCCCTCAGCTCAAGCCCAGATCCCGACGGCTTCCCTGGAATCGGGGCCTCCTCTCCAGCGAGGGGCTGGCAGGCTCCTTAAGTACAAAGGGTGGAGGAGAAGGGGAAGGAAGGAAGGAAAGAAGGAAAGAAGGAGGGAGAGGGAGGGAAGGGGGAGGGAGGAAGGGAGGCGAGGACCTAACTAACGCTGGGCCTACACGGGGCTGGCAGCCACAAACCTTCCCTCACTTAACGTGTGCGCTTGACAACCTGCCCCCAGGCACGGAGGGGCCCCGGCCGTGGCGGCGACTGGAAACCTTTTCGGGACAATTCTCGTCATGCAAATGAGCGACCTGGGCAGGGGGGACTCCGCTTTCCGGGAGTTCAAGGGGGTCTCTCGCTTTATTTACAAAATTTCACGGGGTTACAGCACCGGGAACTTTATGGCTTCAAAACGAGGCTTCCCTTGATTTCCCAGGAGCCTGGCGAGTGTCAGACAATAAAAGAAAAGAAAGAAGAAAAGAGGCCTGCGCCGAGGCGCGGCTCCCCCGGGAGGGCAATTTGCTTTATGGGAGGCCCACGCCCCCCGCTTTAGCCAAACAAGGCCCCGAATTCCCAACTTGACAATACAGGAGAACTTTAATTAAAACGCCGGCTCCGAAGGGACCATTTGGGAAATGCCATCCAACAGCAGAGACGGCCAATTAAAGGAACTGAACAGGTTTTCCGGCGACCAGAGAGGGGCTCGGGACACATTCCTCGCCGGGCCGGCTCAGGACGGCCCTCCGGGGCTCCTGCTTGCATTCCTTCCCGGACTGCGGGCTGGCTGGGCTTTACCTCGGCCACCTCGGGGTCAAAATTGGGAAGCAGAGCCGGGCAGCATGTTGGCAGAGGGACATGGCTTTAATGGATTTTCCGAGCAACCTTGGGCTCCATGAAGGCCTGGGGAGGCACCTGGGTGGCTGCAGAACCCAGCACGGGGCGTGGGGGGGGGGTTGCGCCAGTGTGGAACCCCCCCATACACATATGCAGTGGGAGGGTCTGGGGAAGACACATCAGAATGAGAAACCGGGGAGAAGCGGGTGCTGGGCACCAGGCCGCACGGGCGCCTGGTTTGGCTGACCTGGACCGGTTGTGCCTGAACCCACAGCCCCCCAGCTGAGAGGTGAGAGCGAGCTTCCCGGCTCCTTGGTGGGGGCTCCCGAGGAGGGAGCGCCTTCCCACTGGGAAGGGCTGGGCGGCCCCCAGGGCGGCCGGGAGCAGAGCAGAGGCCAGGGTGGCCGCAGACAAATAGGGCCCTCGCGGGGGGCTTTCTCGCAGGGCTGTGCCTTCTGCGGCCCTGCGGGGGCCCTGGCCGCTCCCTGCTCACTCCCAGCCGCGGCTTCTAACAGAGGGGTCTGAATTGTGGCAAGTGTTTATTTCTGTTTTCTTTTTGGCTTTTCCCTCTCCCATGCCTGCATCTCCTCAGTCTAAACAAATCCACTCAGACAGAAACAATGGGGTCTCTTTGTTTGGGTGTTGGGCGCTGGAGGCATGGAGCCTTCTGCGTCTTCCTCGGAGGCTGGCCGGGTGGGGCCGCGCGGGAGACCCAGGCTCTCCACAGTGCGCAGTCCCCGCGCCGGCACAGCCAGCGCCTGCCCAGGCCTCGGCGAGGCGCCCCGCCTGCGTGGTGGTTAGCACAACGCTCCCAGTCCACCGGGTCTCCGTCCTTGGTGTTGGAGGCAGCCGGCCCTCCCTCTCTCCTACCTAGGGAAGGGGGTTCGCTTCTGGGTTGGGCGCCCCCAATTCAAAGCGGGCACCTGCTGCTTAGAGTCCCTGCAACGGGGCCCTAAAGGAGGGCGCACCTCCCGGCCCACACGTGCCCATGCGCCACGGCTGGGTTCAGGCCAGGCCACCCGCCTTCCCCGCTTCACACCCTGGACTCAGCGCCCTTCCAGAGGCGGGCAGAGCGCGCAGAAGGGCCCGGAGGCCCTGGCCTCTCCGAGCCCGTTTTTCTCCGGCTGCTCTGGGTCTCTCCCTCTCCTGGGAGGGACCAGGGGTCTCTCCAGACCCCGGAATGTGGGGCAGAGTCACGCCTGTTTCCCTGGGTGGGAGCGCCCGGCGCCTGGCCCCCAGGCCCGCCTGACCCAGGGCGCCCTGAGCCGCTCCTTCCCCGTCCGCTTCCTCCTCCCCTAGCCTGCCGGTTAATCATTAGATTGGAGCCTCTCTCCTCCAGCCGCCTCCAACCGTAGAAAGAGAAAGGAGGCGAGGCCCGCGCGTGGCCATTTTAATACTTCGCTGCCGATCACACCCCGCGCAGCCCTCACGAGTCCACGCAGGCCCCGGGCAGAGCCAGGCGGCTCCGCGGCGCTGGCGGAGCTCGCCCCGGGCAGAGAGCGAGGGCACAGAGGGGCCGGGTGGAGGCGGTCGGATGTGGCGAGAGAACCGCGTGCCGGCAACCCCCCGCCCCGCTTTTCCCTCCCTCCCTGGCCCCAGGGCTGCGCGGCACTCACAGTTGAAGTCGGGCATCTTGGGCAGGATCATGCCCGCGGTGGACGCGCGCAGCCACTGGTCCAGCTGGAAGGTGCCGGCGCCCAGCTTGATGGGGTCGACGGGGTGCGCGGGGTGCGCGCCCTGCACCTGCGGGTACGAGTAGGAGAGCGCCGGGTGCTGGCCGGCCAGGACCGCCGCCGCCGCCGCCGCCGAGTAACCGTAGACCGGGTGACCGTAGAGCGCCGCTTGCGCAGGGAGTCCCGCGCCGCCCTGCGCGCCCCCCGGGTGCAGCCCCAGCGCCAGGCTCCCCGCGGCGGCGGCGGCGGCGGCGGCGGCGGCACCCGGGTGCGCGTGGTGGTGCGGACCCCCGGGCCCGCCGCTCGCGCCGCCCGCGCCCAGGAAGCCGGGCTTGGGCAGCAGCGCGCCGTGCGCGGCCAGCAGGCGCGGCGGCGACGGGCTCTCGGCTCTCAGGCGGTCGGCCGGCGCCGCGGGCGGCTCCGAAGACGTGGGGCTGCAGCCGCCGCTCGCCCCGCTGCTGGCCCCGCCGCCGCCCGGGCCAGACGCGGCGGCCGCGAGCGAGGTGACCAGGGCCAGCGGCGCGGTCTGCGCCGAGGCCGCTCGCGGGGGGTCCACGGCCAGCAGCGCGTCGATGCGGAAATTTTTGGATTTTTCCATCGGCTCGCGGGGGCTGGCGATCGGGGCCGGGCGGTGGGTGGCGCGGCCGTGTGCGGACGCGCGGAGTCCGTGCGTGGCGCGGCAGCCCGAGGGCTCGGTATTGTTATGATGATTATTTGCCAATAATCAAAGTCGCCGCCGGGAACTCAGCCGAGAGTGACCATGTCCGGAGCCTCCTCCGCGCGGGCCCCGCCCCGGCCGCGCTCCCACGCGCTCGCAGAAACTCCACGCGAGTGCTGGGGCGCCGGGCGGAGGCCGCTGGCGCCGTGCTGGGGACCCGCGCCCCTGCGCGCACTTGAAGCGCAGCGCGGCCGCGGATTGGCGCGCGCGGGGGGGCCCGGGGAGGGGCGCCGGCTCGGCCATTGGTCGGAGGGCGCACCTGTCACCGTCGCGGCCGCCCGCCGCCCCGCCCCTGCGCCGCGGGGTCCTAAACGGCCCGGGTTGTGGAGCCGGGGTGGTGGGGAGGGGACAGCGACAGGGGTTGGGAAGTTCTGACCCGCAACCGCGGGTCCCAGCTCGCTTTCCTTCGGGTGAAGAGCAGGGTGGCGGGCACCGGCGACCCCGGGTTCCCCGTGTGTGGCGGGGAGAGTCCGGCCTCCGAGGCACGCGCTCCCGCGCTGCGCTCGTGTCACCTAGGGCCAGCAGAGCGCGTCCTCTCCCGCCTCCCGGCCGGCAGCGGAGTTTGTCCACTTCTGCACCGGGGAACCCTCGCTGCCTCCAGACGCAGCCGCTCTGCTCGGTGACTGCAGCGCAGAGAAGAGCGTTCCGGTCCCCAAGCCCCACTCCCGGGCCTCCGCGGCCCGCAGCAGCGGTCTGTGTCCCTGTCACCAGCCCTCTGCAGGTGGGACCTTCTCACCTCCTCTGGGAAGTGCTGCGCGTTTCAGGTGTCGTGTGGGGGCACGGCCTTGCGCGCGTGTGCGTGAGTCGGCGGGCCACAGAGGTCGCCGCGCGCCCCTGCCCGGCCGAGGCGCGGCGGGCAGCGTCTGCGTGTCTGCGGCCTGCGGACCCCGGCCGACCTGGTGACCTGTTCACCTCGCAGGCAGCGGGTCCTCGGCGGCAGCCCTTTCTTCCTCTCTGCCAGGGGATCCCCACAAGCTTGCAGGGGACAGTATCCACCTCGGGGCCAGTCGTTGCCCTGAGGCCGGCGGCGCTGACCCTGGCTGGCCGCCAGGCCCCGCGCAGCACGATGCTGTCGGTGGCCCTGGCCTGCCTGCGGCGACCGGGAAAATCAGCCGGAAGGCTGATCGAGGTGGTGGCCTGAGAATCCAGACCCGTCCCCCGGACGCACGCTGCAAATATTTACAGTAAAAGCACTTACAAGGGCTTTTCTAAGCGGAGAGAACCGGCACGCAGGTGACCCCGGCGCCAGGCTTTGGCAGTGGCTCCGTTAGCCGGAGCCATCTCCCAAGACGGGGACGCGGGAAGGAGCTTCAGGTTCTGGAGGCCTGGCTTCTCGGGCAGGTGAGAGGTGCGCAGAGGGCAGGAAGGGGCCTGGGGAGGGGACCCGCTCAGCGCCAGGAACACGGTGGAGTTGGCGGGTCAGGTTGCCCCCGGAGGGATTGTTTTCAAAAGTAAATACTGTGTAGGGCCGGCGCTGTTTATCCTCAGGGGGCGATTTCCCCCACGCACGAGTTGACTGCAGGAATTCGGTTGCGGGGAGTCCTGCCTCTTTCCCTTTACGACCCGGCCAGCGACCCACGGAACCAGCGGGGCGATTGGGAGGCAGCTCTGGCCCCCGAGACCTGCGGCAAATGTTACGCAGCGTTGCAAAAACCGACGCGAACTTGCAAATAGGAAGGGCAGCGTTCACACGGTGTTGCTGCCTGCGGGGGACATCTTTCTGAGCAAATACAAAGGCAGTCCTGCCTCTGGGTGCAGAGAGGGGAACACTCCCCGTTCTGCGTGCCGTGAGCTTTCTAGAAGTCTCTCCCTCAGCCTCAGTTGCACAGAGGGCAGGTTCAGAGAGGCCTGAGACTGCCCTCCCCAGCGCACCGTCCAGCCTCCGGACGCGGACCAGGCCAGGTCTGGCGGTGGGGGGCCGCGCTGCCCCGCCCCGCCCTCCTCTGCCCCAGCTCTCTGTCTCCTTTGCCTCCTACCTGGCGCTTTGGGGAAGAAGGGGTACGCAGAGACCGGAGATGCCGAGCTTGTCCAGGCCAGGGAGCCTCCGTCCTTCCTGGAGGGGGGTCTTGGGTGTCATTCTGTCTCCCCAAGACAGAGAGCGATTGGGCCCCCCCCACAGGGCCTTCAGGGTCTCGTCACCTCTCCCTTCCTCTCTGCAGGGACAGGTCTCAGGGCTCCCACCCTCCGGTGAGGCTGGGGGGGAGTGATCACCAACTAACCCCCACCCGTCGGCCCTGGCGGCCGCTGCTGTCTTCCCTCCTCTGCCCCCCACCCAACCCTGGACGCTGGATGGCCCCTTCCAGGCCCCAGGGCCCGTTCAGCGGGGGATGGGTCTGCTGTCCAGACTCCCCCCCCACCAAAGTCATCGTGTTTTATGGCTCCCAGAGGGCTGACCCACCGCCTTTGTTCCCCAGTGCCCTGCTCTCAAACTGCGACCCCCTCCCCCAGCCCCCGGCCCCTGGGAGCGCTTCCTGGTGCACAGGCAGGAAGTCCAGGCCCAGGTTCACCTGGTGTGACCCCCTGCACACCGGCGGGGCCCAGAGAGGTGACCGCGAGGGCTGAGCCTGTCCGCTGCGGCAGGTCCTGGCCGCCCCTCCAACTGCAGTGGCACCCGGCTGTCCTTGCCCCTTTATTTTGGTGAATTTCTGCGGCTTTGTCTAGAAAAGTCCGCAGCCGACCCAATGGACTCGATGAAGCTCAAGGGCTTTTAAGGGACCGCATATATGTTGAGACTAAGCGGATACATGTCGGAAGTTCTCTCTGAGCTGCTGTGTGGAGAGAGGGGGCGGCCTGGGAAGCTGGGGTCTTTGTGTGGTTTACTGGGGGGGCGGGCGGGAGGGGGGAGAGCACACGGGCCCTTCCAGTTCCCAGCATCTGTGTTGACCCAGCCCAGCTCCTTTGAAGACGGTGTGGGGCCATCGGAGGGGGAGCTGGCCGCAGCGGGAGGTCACTGGTTTGGCTGCCCCGTCTCTGGTCAGGCTTCTGGCCCTTGGTCCTGGGGCGGCCGGCGGCACCCCCCGCAACACAGCGAGGCAGCACCGGCCTGGTGTGCTGTCCACCCGCCTGGCTCCCCCCACGCCCGCCCACCCCTTCTCTTCCAGAGGGTCTTCCTTCAAGGTCTGGATGCTTCCTGCCACCGCCCTTTCTCCCACTACTCAAGGGAGGGTGGGAATCTATGCAAACAGTCGGCCGCCCATCCCGCCTGGAAATGGGCGTTGATGCATTTGTTAACGGGACCGGGGGTGCGGCAGCATTAGCTGCGCGAAAACCCAGCAACCTGCCAGCCTCCTGGTTTTGGAAATTTCCTGATAAATATACAAAGGCGTATGTTGGCGTGTTCCGAGGCAGGACGTGGGCACCAGCTTGGCCATGTGTAACCCTTCTGCGCACGGGGAGCGGGTGACCGGGGGCGCCTCCCCCCTGTTTCCGAGCGGAGGCTCCCACCACGGATACCCTGGGCCGCTCGCTCGCCTGACCTGCTGAACTCTCTGACCTGCTGAACTCCTGTTCGGAGTGGGAGTGTCGTTTAGTTAAACTGAAGTGTAACCTCTCCGGGCTTCCTTCGGGAAGCCGGCTCGCGGGCGCTGTGCGCCCTGCCTGGGGTCGGGGCCTAAGCTCGCGCGGCGGGGCCCCAGCGACGATGCTGGAGGAGGGCGGTGCAGGCCTGCGGGTCGGGGCAGCCCTGTCCAGCGCCGGGGACAGTGTGGGGCGAGCTCCGCGCCCGGGAGGGGTCCCGCGCTGCAGGCCCTGCGACCCCCGGGGTCACCGGAAGGGGAGCGCGGTGGGCGGGGTGGGTCCGCGCAGGTGTCTCCGCCCCCACACAGCTCGGAGGGCCGAAGGTGTCACTTCGTTCGCAATGCGCTTTGATGTGCTAACCTCCTCCCTGACCCGGCTGCTCGCCTTTAAAGGGCCTGGAGAGGCTGGGACCCCGCAGACCCAGCGCTCTGACGGGAGGCCCTTCTGCCTCTGCCCACGCCCCCGCCCCCACCCCAGGTCCCGCGCTGGGCGCCTTGTCTCGTGGCCCCTCCCTGGGGGCCTCGCCCTCTACTCCTGGATGCCTGTCGCAGCGACCCCGGTGTCTGGGGGTTCCCTCGGCCACGGAGGGCCCAGGCTGCAGACGCCGTCCCCAAACGGGGTGTCATGGGGCTGGGGCTGGTGAGGGACCCCAGGGTTGCTGCAGGACACAAACGCGTAAAACCCCAGCGACCCCGGGCCTCCTGTGTTTTGAAAATCCCTCCAGATGCGGCATTTTTTTTGCATGACGCTCAGACCCTGGGCGGCCTCCCTGCCTCTCCAGACACCCCCGGGAAGGACGGGCGTGGCCAGGGGCCTCGTCACTGGGTCCCCGGGAGCACCCGGCCGCAGGTACCCCTCTGACCCTGAGACCCAAGGCATTCCCAGCCAGGTGACAGGCGAAACAACCCCCCAACGGATTCAGGGAGGAGGGAGCCGCTTGCAGGAGCCCCTTCCGGCACAGCGTGGGGCGACCACCCTCGGCAGAGAGCGAAAAGCTCCTGGGAGCAGGGTGCCTTCTTGCTGGAGGATTTTAACATGATTTACTTTTGCTCCCGCAGGTTCGTGCTGCTGTCATGAGCGAGGTTCACACCCCCCGCCGCGGGGCGGCTCTCCCAGCAGCCGTGGCCGGGCCAGGCCTCTCCGACGGAGCCAGCGCCCACTCGGGCCTGCAGTTCGCGGTGAGTGAGCCTCCCCGGCGGCCCAGGGGGTCTTATTTTAAGATGGACAACAGTGCCCACCTGGGAGTGTCTCCTCCTCCAGGGCTGACTTTCTAAGGGCTCCACAGAGCTGGTCAGGCAGCGTTTGCCAGAGGCTGGGTGGGCACACTTCTCTGTCCCCCACCCCCAGCAGGGGGAGGCCAGGGC